TTATATATTAGCTTAAGAAGGACAACAGCTTTGGTCAAGTATTAAAATCCTGCATTCAGAGAACACCTCCCCATCTTTGTTCTCATCATCTTTCTTGTGCTGAGGACATGTACCTCCCCAAGAGATTGGAGAGCAGAAAGCTGAAAGCCCTCCGAGCAACATAAAATCTTGAAGGCATCTAAAACTGAGAGCCTTTTTATTTGTGGAACCCTGCTGACTGATGTGGAATCTCAAAAATTGGTCCTAGGCATTTTCTAACCTTATCACCTTTCCCAAAGGCTGTACATATTCGTGCATCTTCCATTTCCTGATTTCTATTTCATTGGTTCTATATATATTTTTTTCCTACAGGGCAACCTGGGGCTCTTTGGACCAGCATGTATCATACAAAACATTTGGACTCATTAACATGTCATGAGGTGCCATGGAACAGAAGGAACCAAGTAAAGGTGTGACTCTGTCGCTTCATTCTCTCCAGGAATCTTCCACATGCATTCTAATAAACCCATTCAATCTTCGGCATCGCATGAATTTTGCTTCTTTACTGTTGTTCTGATCACAAGTACAACTTGCATTTAAAAAATGTATATAAACACTTGAGGCTTTGAAATAATTTTGGCACCCCTGTTAGGACTAATTTTTCCTGATTCTGTTGAGACAGAGCTGTTTTAACCTAGATTGCCCATTATATCCCATTCAGGACATATCTCCTCCACTAATGATACAATACCCCCTGCAAGCCCATTTAGAACATCATATGAAGGTCATGAATGATGCACTTACCGCTCCAAGATAGGTGCAGGCACAATATCTTGTTCATTCCTATCTAAAACAGCAACTGGAATATAAGCATTTTTTCTCCCAGTGAAACACGTGTCTGGTAACCGAGCAGTTTATAGAAATGGGGGAGAAAGATACAGAACAGTGGTAGACTACCTGGTTTGCCTGCAGAAGGTGCCCTGTTCAATCCCAGGTATTTTCAGTTTTTAAAACAACCATCAGGTAGCAATGAAAAAAGATCTCTGCTCAAGTGTGTGAGGCTGAGAGCAACCCCAGAGGTGGCCCGAGAGGTGTACCACCAGGCTCTCCAAGAGGAAACCACAAGGGACAGCTGGCAGACATAATTAAAGACTTACAAGGGCTAGACATAGGGACAGAAACAATAGGGGGCGCCATTTCAGGTGGGGGGAAAAGGGAGGAAAAGGAAGGAGTAGGGAGGCGGGGGGCTTTTGGAGGAGGAAGAGGAAGAGGAAGCATGCTGGGTGGAGAAGGTAGAAGAGAAGGAGGATTTAGTGGATTTGGTTCAAGAAGAATTGGTGGACAGGAGAATTGGTGGAATTTAGAGTTCCTCGAGAGTGCATGGAGGAGTAGAAAAGGCAGATATATAGGAAGCCACCCTACTGAGGCGAGATGGAAGAGAGAAAATGGTATAAAGCATGGATACAGAGGGAGGCTCAGTGGAAAGAAAACAAACAAAGTATAGAGAGAGGTGGGAGACCCCGTGGAGCCAGTCCATTTCGTCCCAATTTGAGACCTACAAGAAGGTTTGGGGGCCGCAGGTGGGCTGGATCTTTCACCCCTCATCCTGAAGCAAAAGGCGACGTCTCCGGGGGACTTGTTATAGGAGTTTGACAGTTATAAACTGGTTATGAATTCTTTACCCTTCACTAGGAAGGAGAACTTATTGTTGTTTAAGGAAGATAAATATGGTCCTGTTTGTTTGTTTAACTGATATGCCGCCCACACTACCTAAAATACAAATGTTTTTGTGAAATCAGAGGCAGATGATATGGTTGAAAAAGCCCAAGAAACCTTCTTAAAACCATAAAGACGTTTTACCAGAAAATCTTCTGTATGCTGGGTTAGATTTGAGACTAGAGCTGCACAGCTCTTGCCTGCCTGTTCCAGAAATAGAAAGAAGTTCAATGTGATAGTCACCTTTCCTCCAGTGAGTTCAAGGGAGCATGGATGCCTCTCTTCTTCACAAGTTACCTTCAGGACAACCATATGGGATGGTCAAGCTGAGAATGACAGCAGCTTTTGTGCCTTATTGGACACAAGGAACTGGGCCTCCCATCCCAAAATTCTCCCCCAACACTAACAATGTTTTCCATGTTCATATATTTGCACAAGTATTTATAATCCATTCGCTATCAATAAATCTCAGGATAGGGTACAATAAGCAATATCACCTTAAGGGAAGCTAAAATTTAACTAGGTACTTTATTTTGCCTCTGCATTAAAGGTTCCAACCATTTAGTTCCAGTCTGTAGATTATTTTTGTTGTTTAGTCGTTAAGTCGTGTCCGAGTCTTCGTGACCGATTGGACCAGAGCACGCCAGGCCCTCTTATCTTCCACTGCCTCCCAGAGTTGGGTCAAATTCATGTTGGTAGCTTCTATGACACTGTCCAACCATCTCATCCTCTGTCATCCCCTTCTCCTCTTGCCTTCACACCTTCCCAACATCAGGGTCTTTTCCAGGGAGTCTTCTCTTCTCATGAGATGGCCAAAGTATTGGAGCCTCAGCTTCAGGATCTGTCCTTCCAGTGAGCACTCAGGGTTGATTTCCTTCAAAATGGATAGGTTTGTTCTCCTTGCAGTCCAGGGGACTCTCAAGAGTCTCCTCCAGCACCACAATTAAAAGGCATCAATTTTTCGACGATCAGCCTTCTTTATGGTCCAGCTCTCACTTTCATACATCGCTACTGGAAAAACCATAGCTTTGACTATGCGGACCTTTGTCAGCAAGGTGATGTCTCTGCTTTTTAAGATGCTGTCTAGGTTTGTCATCGCTTTCCTCCCAAGAAGCATGCATCTTTTACTAGTCTGCATTAATCGTAAATTCAGTTACAATTTTTCATATTTTATAATCCAACATATTAATTATGTAATCTTGGGGACGGCGTGTGTAGCAAGGTTCATTATATTTTGTTGAGATTGCACAATATAAACCCTATTAGCTAACATTTCCAAAACGTGTTCTTTGCTTCCCCGCTTGTTTATTTTTCTTTTAAGTGATTCCATGGCTGAAGGATTGCTTTGTCTTACTCCAAGCAGTAAGGTTTGCTCACGAAAGAAGAATCCCTTCCACCCTTTTTAAATACATGTTTAAAAGACAGTTGAGAGTACAGCATCCAGATGTTGAGCAATCCGGAGTGCAATACCGGAAACCAGGGTTTTCATTTTAATCAAAGCTGAAAACTAAAGGATGTCAATCGCGTCTTGCCTACGTGGCGGAAAAGGCAGCACCGGGAACCAACCAAGAAGCCTTCCAGAACTACAACTCCCAGCGTGCTTTCTGCGGGTTCGCCGGCCTTCGAGGCGAAAGAATGGAAGGCTGCGGAACTACATTTCCCAGAAGACCCTTTCCTGTGTATACTGGGATGTCCGGAGCTTCGGCCGGTGGAGGTGTTTTTTATAGAGTAGGAGAAAAGGGTGGGAGATATTTGTCCTTTCCAATGTGGTTTTGCTTCATTTCTGCGGGTGGTGCTGCGCCCTCCAGCTTGGCTCCAGGTGTGCAGAGGTAGAGATCCAGCAGGTAGGACTGGATGTGAAGCCAGGGAGGGTGCAAGCAAGGATCCGGATTGCAGAAGGAGTCTGGCTTTGGATTGAGGGCGGGGGGAGGGGATGGTTGGAAGCAAGCCTCTTTGGGGAAAGCAAAAGTAAATAATAAATCAGGTTATCTGTCAAACATGGGGCAACGATCTAGCCATCGCCCCTTATTGCACTGGAGAATCCATACACTTCTGTGTGTGGTGGAATATAAATTATGAGTTACAGCACCTCTACTTGGGGCTTTCAAGGTAAGTGGGATATTTAAGGAGTGGTTTTGCTAGTTCCACTTCCCCAGTGTGTTTCCATGGCCAAATGGGGATTTGAACTCTCATCTCCAAAGTGCTAGAGTTCATCCCTCTATCCGCTACACCACACTGGATACTGAATTGTGCTTAGAGGTTGGTAATTCTGAATCTTTCTGCAATTACACAAGTAATGCTTTCCGTGTGTGTACAGTACTACAAATTGTACTCTCTTTCAGCCAGCTGTGCAATCCTGGACAAGTCATTCTGGCCCACAAAGGCTTATAAATATATCAATTAAATACGAAGCACATTCTGTTGGAACTTAACTTCCAGGGAAATGACAATAGCAGCCCAATGGTCTGTCATCCAGGTGTGATCCTGCTGAGCTTCCACATGACAGCTGACAGTTCTGGCTGGGTCTAATGGGAGTTTTAGTCCAAAGATGATGAGAGGGGGTTTGAGAATGCTTTTTAATGGGTTTGCAATCTAACAATAGAATATTAAATGTGTTCATGCAGTCATTCAATTCCGTTCAGTGACGATTATTCCTCAATAAGTGTGTTTAGGATTTTTAGCCTTAGCTATTTTGTCTTGATATTTTTTTTTAAGTGGGCATTGTTTTTGTGCATTAAAAAAAAACATTCTACTATGCAAAGATCTAGCATGCCATGGAAGTAACAACATAAATTACTACTCCCCATTTTCAAAACCTCTTGGTGATTGTAATCCACTGTCGCTGGTTGTATCTCATTTCTTAATGTAGTAATAATAATCACGTGCCACATCAAGTCAATTCTGGTTTATGGCAACCCTTTTTTGGGTTTTCCAGCTAGAGAATACTCATAAACAGTTTACTATTCCTCTCTTCTGGGGGCACTCGGGAGACTGGTCAGATTACCTAAAGCCACACAGGCTGCCTTGACCCACAGAAGCACAAAGGGGAATCAAACTCCCAACCTCGTACTCTAAAACCAACTACCTATAACCATGAAACTATCCAGCTCTTTTGCCTATTAGAGTCTGATCCGTTAAAAGTCTACTAGAATTGCCCTGCTTCAGACAAAAATGTAATTTATTATAAAATCATATATGCTGAAGGTTAAAATGGCTGCATATATTGTTACTGTCATTCTTGTGGCGTATTTATTTACCACTTAACATGTTGCAAAATGTAAATGTTTAAAGTTATCAAAGCAGTTCCTTTACAAAAAGTTATAGCAACGTTATGAAAATGTGGAAGTCCTTGTTTTAATGCATCTTTGAGCTGTCTGAATGCTGTGCAAAAGTAGGTGCTTAAACAATAGATGCATGTTGTAGAGCTACTTACTATGGTTTGTATAATTTCATCACAACCACAGATACAGTATATGGCCAGTGGTATCGTTTAATGGTTTTGCAAACTGCTCCAGCAAATTCTCTTAGATGAGCTTTGGAATTGACTATACAGTACTTTAATTTTTTTTAAAGGAAAATGTTATTTCTGCAAGAGGTCATGTAGCCATGTGTATAACATATAACAGTGGCTGCATATGATTAACATCAACAAATAAAGAAGTGGAGCATCATGTTGGTTTGACTGCCTGCTAAACAGAAAGGGTTGGGGAAAAAGGTATTTGCAGAACTCGGTTTGTCATGGCATGTGAGAGAAAACAGCTGCCTGACCTTTTCAGTACTTGGACCCTTTCGTCAACTAGATTGTAGGACATCTTGTTATATTAAACAAAGTGAATTCTAAGGCTGTAGTTTCAAGAACATTTGGGAACTGTGGAAACTGAGCAGGCCAAGTGGTGGCCTTTTTCTGATGTTCTGCTGTCTAGAGTTCAGGACAAGACGGTTCTCTCTCGCACTAGCAGTTAAATTTTACTTCCATACTGGTCCTCACATAGTATCCTTCATCACACTTCGGGACACAGGATTAAGGCCTGAAGGAGTGGCTATGTGGTATCAGACAGCATTTGTCTCCAGCAAAAGAAAAAAGACCAAGGAGGTCAGGAAGACTGGTTGGAGTAGCTTTAGTGCCTGCTACCATCTGTAACCTGAGATAGCTGCCTCATTATGCCTAATGGTAGGAGTGGCCCTGCTATTGAATGGTGGGATGACAGACAGAATTACGAGTACATGATGGAGGTATATTTTTTCTGGACACCTTGGTTTAGTTAAAAATGGGAGCAAATAGAGGTGTCGAGGTATCGTGAATAAATCTACTTTTGCTCTTTGTTTCACTTTACAGTAATTCTGTCCCTTAAATCTGTGTCATTTCACATATCCATCCCTCAGCCTGTACTCTTCTCTTACGTTCTCAAGATGCAGCTCAGCTACCCTTCCTGCTCTGTCCTGGCAGTTGATGGGATTACTTTGGGCATCTGGGACAAACGTTTTAGCTGGCCAGTGGGGTGGAGACAGCCTTGCAGCATTATTTTGTACACTCAAAGGGAATTGCTCCTGTAGCTTATCCATGAAAGCAATGGAAGAGGAGAAATGGAAGGTTGAATTCAGCTTTTGGACTGAGAACAGAATCCACCTTCATTCTGTAGAATAAGAGGAAAAATGAATGTCCAAGGACAAATGGCTCACCAATCTGCTCATTTAAGTTAAAGTTTGATTATACATATAAGTAACCTTGCCTCAAAGGTAAGGCATATTATTGTAGCACAGAATCCAAATCCTCTGATTTGGATTCACATGAACATTTGACCACTGTGGCCAAACCTTTATGTGCTCCTCTGTCTGCCACGTTGCTACAAGATTCTTTGGTATAGAAGGAGCAAGCAGTTTCCATAGATTTCTGTATAGCACATAGGAAACAACAAATCGAGTATAGAGCAAGGAAATAAGTACATATATATTCCCCAAAAGGGGGGAGGGGTCACATGTGTGTGAAATACAGGGGTGTTTGAAGCTATACTCAAAAAAGTAAGGAAATACAGCTCATAGATCTGAAAAACATTGGCATATCAATCAACCCTTTTCTGTCTTATCGTCTATGTAAACACAAGAGGTGAGCTCTGTTCTTTGATTTCCTAAAGGCAAAAAACCTCTCCATATTTAGCTGGGATTAAATCCAGTAAATACAAAAAGGTCCCTATCAACCTCACATATCAGTTGGACTGGACTAGTGAGTATTATATTACTGTAGATAGGTTTGGGTTGTGAATCTGTTTGGAGATGTTGACGCTGTTAGTGTGTTGTGTTTTATTTTCTTCCACTTGATGTAAGTGATGCCATATAAACGGAGAAGGGTAATTAGATAGATTATGCTGGAATATTTACTTGGAGTGTAAATTAAGGTACAGAATGCATTAATGTACTCATGCTTTGAGACGGGAGGCAGTTTAATCTATTGTTTGAATTCTGTTAGTATTTGGAATATAGCTTCAATTATATGTGTATATTATATACATATACATTTGTATACATACACACATATATACAAGTGTGTGTGTGTTTGGTAAATATATGTAATTTTGCTTTAAATAGAATGATTTTATTTCTTTGGAGGATTTCCCTGCTTTTTAAATATCTAAGGAAACCATACCCCCTGACCAAGGGGAGAAAATTAATTTTAAACTTCTCTCCTAAAAAGAAAGGTCTTGAATACTATAAGGTGTAATTTTCATATCTACCCTCCCTTCTGCTCAAAGATTTCCTCTGGAAACACATGCCAAAAACCGATTTGTTTCACCAAAAGCTGGTCCTGTCCAAAGGGGTGAGTTAGAAAACAGTGTCTTTCACCCCATGTTTTGCACTCTGAATTGCACAAACGGGTAAAAGAGACCGGTAGCAATTTCAAATGAGATTTGCTTCCATAATAAGGATGCATAGAATTGAGCCGTCAGTTGGTTTCACCCAATATTAGCTTCCAGTTATTTTTATGTAAGAGAGCTGTAATTATGAATACTGTGGAGGCCTTTAAAAAAACAACAACCGTAGACCGAAATAAGGAGTATTGCAAAGCCGATATTTTTATCTTCAGTCATGTTACCATATCTTTCAACTTATTTGATTTACTGTCTCATCATAAAACAAATAAACATGTCAGCATTGTCTAAGTTTTGAGGTCTATATGGTTTTGTTTTTTTAAAAAAAATTGCAATCCTTTATTCACTTCAGCTAGAAATAATCCCCATGGGGCTGAACTGAGCATACTTCTGAGAAAAGGACCAGGAACCCCCAAAAGTAGAAGTTTTTGGAAGAAGCATAGTATTAGGCAAAATCCAAAGAAACAGGAGAAAAACGTGGCACTTTAAAGACGATTAGATTTTAATGTAAACTTTCTTGAACACATCCACTTTGAGCTTGTATTAAAATCTAATAGTCTTTTAAGGTGATACCTGTTTTTGTCTTGTTTACCTTTGTTTCTTTGGATTTTGCCTAATACTATGCTTCTTCCGAAAACAACTACTTTTGGGGAAAGATGTGTATGTATATGTGTGTGTGTGTGTGTGTATGTATACATACACAAACACTGTGTGTGTATGTGTGTATGTGTGTGTGTATGTACACACTGTGTGTGTGTGTATATACACAGACTGTATATATATATACTGTATATATATGTATGTATGTGTGTGTGTGTGTATGTATATGTATGTATGTATGTATGTATGTATATATGTATGTATGTATATGTATATGTGTGTATATATAGTGTGATATATATATATATACACACACACCCCACATATGTGTGCATATATCTATATATGTGTGTATGTATCTGTGTGTATATATAGTGACAGTATGTGTGTATAGTATGTATGTATGTATTTATGTATGTATGTATGTATGTATGTACAGTACTGTATATGTGTATATATATAGTGTGATACACACACACACACAGACACACACACGAGGGTGTGTGTGTATGTGTCACCCACAGCGACTGTGGCTGAAATTCTAAATTTGACATTAAAACCAGTCTTTTTCCCTCTCTTGTGTGTGGGAGGGGGGGGGTGGGGGGGGCGGGCGGTGCCCGCGGCTCCATGGCAACC